CTTTATATAGCTTATTGGTATTCTTATGAGATGTAGTATGTGTGTGGGTATGCGCGATTGTCTGGGAGGTTTGTGCAGAGGGGTCAAGTCTTATAGCAGATACTTGCAAGCGTATAATTGTGAGGATTACACAACTACTATTCATACCCGATTCTCATATCTGTCTGGTGAAGGTCTGTTCTCAATTGCAGTCTAGGTGCCAATGCGTGTCTCACGCCTGAGCGTCTTCGACAGAGTATAAAAATCATGAACAATGTGCTGGGCACAATACTTGCCGTTGATATAAAGCCCATCGAAAAATCACCATTTGCTTCACAATGCACCTTCACTGGTAGCTCGCCAGAGCTTTGCGTACAATGCATTGATTTGCGAGGTATATATATTATAGTATATGCTTATGTATCGCCTTAATCACTGTCTGATACAGGGATTCAGCTACACCGTATCGTGCATCCGTGATGATATCGATACGATTTACGATGTGACCCTGGCCTTCAAGGACAACAAACGCCCTACTATGGCACAGCTGCTAAAGGGCGAGGGCGGGGAGGTGCACGTCTATCTTGAACGATACGATCCGAAGGACCTGCCTCGCACAGAACCGGTATGTACAGGTCACCGACGGGCAATATATATATATATATGTATATAAATATATACATATATATATATATATATATATATGTGTGTGTGTTTGTATGTATATATATATATATGTATGTGTGTGTGTTCCGACATGTTTGCCATGGAGTGACTCATCCTTATTTGTATGAACCCAAAGGGGACTCGAGAGGGGGGACCCTTGAGCAGTATACTGTACAGATCGTCTCCAAGGCTAAGCGCTTGTATTGAATCACTGTCGGCATATTATCTCTTCAGGCAGCCCATGTGATATGCCTGTTGTCAGTATTTCAAAGTTACTAGCATGTTCTACAACTGTGAGTGTGTGTATCTGGTGATTAAGGTTAAATAGGTCACCTTGCACCCAATCAGGCACCGGTAAGAAATCACTTGAAGATCGCCAAAATTTACCGCACCACGGCCACATATCCATAATCACGAGGCATTCAGCGTATTCTAGACTCATCTTAAATACTTTTCGCTTGGCTGGGTGTGTGGGTGTATCTGGTTGCATGTATACAGGAATTGTTGGAGTGGCTCAATGCGTCTTTCAAGAAGAAAGATGCCCTGCTCGACTACCACGAGAAGCACGGTGTCTTTGAAGGTGTGGAGAAGAAAGTTGAAGTCACCACGACGCCTTTGTACATCACCGGATTCTGGTTTGCCTCCTTCATGGTTGGCACTTCAGCCTACTTCTTAGAGTATGTGATTCGAGGCGCTATAGGCTTGCCTGGTGTGTGATGTGTGATGTATCTGGGAACAGCATGAGGGTATACGCAGTGGTTCAGGTCTGTCTTCGTAAAGCGTTTGCTGGTGAATTTGCACCAGGTGCAGAGATCAGGTTGAACATGTGAGATTGAACCTTCACACATCCTGTCGCGGCATTCACAGATTCTGTGGCTGCCGAACAGTATATCTCTAGTCTACTATAGTCAGTCAGGCGTCATAGCCACCAGCCGAAGTGCGTCTGCTTATCCTGCGTGTTGGTGTATGTGCCTCAGTTGCCTTGTGGTGCTCGCTAGTATGGTGTCTGCATGCAGCAGAGTATCCCCTGCGCCAGTCACGCGCCTGTGGTTCGTTGTATATTGGTGGCGTGTTGCGCTGTGCTGTGCCTGTATGTAGGTACCAGGTATCTTTTCCAAGTTCATTGGGCCATGTACCTATGTTTTGACAATGGATGGCGAGCAATGTGCCAGCGGTGTCATAGGCGACGCCATTGCAATGATCACGTACTCCCTGATACGTGCCAACCCACCTGGGTATCTGTATCTCCGTGTCCCTTTCGTATACACTGCCGTGTGCCTAAACACTAAATCTCAATACTGTTTTTGGATCGTTACGCCGATTTCCCGATATTCTGCTGCAGTGCTTTGGCCAACAGTGAGTGGTACAAGTTCAAAATCGCTGGTGGTATCACGGTGGCCTTGTTTGGGGCGCTAGCTGGGCTTCTCAGGTACTCCGAGGCAGACAAGACTAAGGTCGAAAAAGGTCAACTCAAGAAGAAGACAACCTAATAACTTATTTAAGTCAAGTGATACTGGATGGGGATTGCATAGTCTAGACGTGAACGTAGATGAGAAAGCACGATAACTATGCTTTATTGGTGGCTTGTGGTGTTCGCAAGCAAATTAGTTAATGAATAGTACATCTATACATCACATACCAGGTTTTGTGTACGGAGTGAGAGATGAAGGTGCCTAGCATAGCATATGGCTCATTCGAATTTTGTAGGCAATGAAAAACACGCGCGCGAGTAAGTAGACGATATGTAGGGAGTTCTGGTTGTAATGTTCTGTACTGAGAAGATGCCCGACTATAGCATAGCAACAATGGGTCCCGCCGTGGTATAGATAACTTAGGAAATAAAGATATTTGATTGACGCATTACATCAAAATAAAAAACCCGGATATTCAAGTCACATTCTGAAAATCGTTCCTCATTTCAGTACAGATGCAAGAATCGCTGCTTTTTTTTATAAGTAGTTTATTGAGACAGGTTCAAGCCACTGCACGGTATGTAGACTAGGGTACCCATTGTGGGCGACACTTTAGTTAGTGTGCCTGCAACTTCAATTGGATTAATTACTTCTATATATATATATACATACACGTGAGTGTTTTCAGGGACTATTGTCGGATGCTGGCGCCAACGCTCGCACACGTTCTCCTAATACGGAAAGTAAGTACTACCACGCTTACATCCCACTGCTGTAGTGCTTAATGGTAGTATGAAACAATCATATTACCTTTAAACTCAACAGTTCCTCTCCCAACCGCGAGTACGCTTCACCCCTTGGTAACTCAACTGGGATATCAAAGGAGTCTTGCGCCACAATATCTTCCTCCCTCCCCTTTTCTTCTTATGATCTTCGAAATTATTACTTCTCTATCGCTTGTACAGTACACATATGTAGTCGCCTATGTTCAGTATATACACCAAACACGCCTATGAGAAGTGACGATATATTTAGTCTATATCGCCTTCGTGTTCACAGCGCCTACTCTATCCTCCCACAAACGATCGCGATACAGCCTCGCTGCCCCGGGTGAGAGTCACAGACCCCCATCGTTCCACCTTCCATCACTTTCGCTTTGTACGGTGTTTCCAAGCAGTTGCCAGTGATCGGTGCGCCAAGAAAGAATGCCAATCACCCACTGCAACTGAGATTGATGCTTCCGAGAAACCTCGCGACAACGAGCAAGCTGATCTACGCCTGGAATAGTTTCTGGATATAGGATTCGATATCGAAGTCCTCGCTCGCGTAATGCGTCGAATTGCGCACTGGGCTGGATCGCGCCCGCCCCAGCGCCGTTTGATTGTCGAATTGGTCTTCAGCTTCGACAGTGCTCATATTATGGAGCGAACCCGCTGAAGGTGACCATCGCACCCTCTGATGGTCTGCCGTGAGTGGATTGGTGCTTTCCTTAGCCTGCTCGCCGAAGCTCAAGTAGTGATCGTCGTTGTGCTCGTGCCTGACAGTGGCGATTATCCGGTCTTTCTCTGGACTCGGGGTGAATGGGCCCGGCTGCTTCCCATGCACACGCATTCTATCTTGCATACCACGGCCTTTCGATCCAGAATCATCCGTAGCGCCGGCTGTGGGGCGAGCGTCTTCAGCTCGTGTCTTGCGTTCCATCCGCCCGTACTCATTCCCGTCCTGCCCTGCAGCATGCAAAGGCACGCCCCGGGTCAGATCCATATCTAGATCCATTTCTATATCCGCGGAAAGGGCCTTGTATATATCATCAGTCTCCATCCCTGAAGCTGGCTGCGAGGATCTCAGCATACGCCCAGGCTGGAGCCCACCCATATCGTTATCACTCGGACCTCCGGTACTCTTCGGCACATTGGGCAGATCCAAATCGACACCATCCATAGCGAAAGTGGAGTGAGACTGACGTGTCTTGCCAGACGCCTGCGGCAGGCCCATATCCGACTTGTCCGGGTTCATGGAACGAGAATCCTTCTCATCGAACTGCATGTACAGCCGTCGAAGCGTCTGAGTGTCTTGGTCGCCGTCCTCACAACAATGACTCCCCAAACGTGGCCAGTTCTCTCGGGCGAGGCTGTGGCGGTGTTTGACTGTGCTTGCTCTGCCACTCTCTACGCTCATGCTGCGCGCATACGACGCAGTACCACGTGCAGGTGGCTGCGACAGCACATCGCCGTTCGTGCCATTCGACGAATTGGAACGCCCACTGCCGCCGAACTTGCCCGTTTCCAATCCCTTCCGCCGCATGTTGGAGAAGGAGTGTCTAGGTGACATGACGTATGGTGCGGATTGCATCTGAGTGTTGGTTCTGGGTGTGGAGTACTGCTTCAGCCTGCTGGAGGCCTGCGTACCCGCTGAACCCGCCTTCGCCAGTGACGTATTCGCAGTATGATCCGATGATGGATAGGTAGACACCTGCAAACACCCACCAACGCCCGAGGAGCGCAGGTCTGACTTCCCACTGAAGGTTGGTCCAGCAGGCATGTAGGTCAGCGGTTCGATACCGTGGGAGTCAGCCAACGCACCCGCTACCGGATCTCCAGCCTGAGTCTGGGACAGGAGTCTCTCCCCGTCGCCATCGAGCAATTTCATATTGGCACGGTAGTTTACGATCAACACCTCATCGTCCTCTATACTCCATCGGCGCGCGTTAACCGGATGGCCTCTGACGAAGAGTTTTGGCAGTGCGCGGTTCATAAGACCGGTCGGGTGCTCGCTGGTGGTGATGAATGCTTGGACGTCCATCGATAGCCCTCCGTTGATGAAGTCAGGCGCTTCTAGGAACATGGGTATATTGGAGACCTGTGAATCCTTCGCTGAATTTGTCTTTTTGATCGGGTGACTTGTACTGACCCTGGGGCTCATCGTGGTATGCATACCCAAATCCAAACTTGTTTCTCGGGTCATCTCGGTTTCTGGCGCGTTCTGGTATCCCAGGGTGCTGGCACCATTCCTCTCTGCCAGCGATGCACTGGTTCCCGATTGCGCGGATGGGGCGTCGTACTCTGCCTGCCGTCGTGCCAGGAAGGACATGTATGGGCTGTCGTCGTCTTGTGGGTGGTTGGTATAGGGGGGACCTGGGCCCGGTACAGATACACTGCGTGGACTTTGGCTCAACCCCAGATTCGAACTAGGGTATGAGATCGTGCGAGATCGTGCTTGTGCGGCTCCATTGGCATGGGAGCCCTGCTCCATGTTCAGACTGAGCGTCGTGGATATCGGATTGTCCTTCCAACTAACGCTACCGACAGCTGATGTCTCGCTGTCGTTGTGGCTTTGGGAGCCTCGTAGTAGTGATATATCGAACAAGCGTTTTGTGGGGGGCTCGGGTAGAGAACCACGGTGTCTATCTCTGGCGTTTGTGTTCTGACTGCGCTGTATAGCTGGGACATGACCGTACGCTCCGTTTAGATTGGATGGGGAGGTCGATGGAATGTCTTCGAACTGACTGGGAAAGTACATGTTGTCCTGGTGTCGTTCATGGATGGGCGCCATAAAAGGCACCTGCGCTCGCCCGTGCGAGGCTGTGTTCTTGTGCTCACTATCATACATAGCACCAGAGGTTGATTTGAGGTGTGACTCCGTCATATCCGGCATAAACCCGTGACTCGAATGCACCGGATCGCCTTGCGGGTAGTCCAATGTGTCGTCTTGAGGCCTGTGAGATACCAGTCTCCGCAGCGGTTTCGTTGGAGGCACAGGCTGGCTTTTCATACTGTCTTGATACATAGGCAACATCGAAGTGCCGAGCTCGTTCTCTAGACTGGGTGGTGCAGCTAAGTGATCCAATGGCCCCCATTGTTCTAGCCTGTCCATGTCCTCGCCTATATCTGAGCATGACTCTAAGTCTTGTTCTTCCTGGGCTTGCTCTACCTGGGCTTGGTTTTGCTGAGCTTGTACTTCTCGGGCCTTCCGTCTACGATCCCTTCGCCTGGCAGCTCCCTTGCCTCCCGGGCGAGCGATCACCTGATACAACACGAGACGAGATTCGAGATCGAGAAATTTGAATAGGCCTACAAGTGTGTGTGTGCCTGGTGTACTGAATAACCAAAACCCATCACAAACTAAAACAGCGTGACGAAATGTCGCGGTGGCAGAAGACAAATCGGTGGCGAGTTCGGTAAGTTCGGCCATAGAGATGTTTCACATCTCTCGACATACCTTGAACAAGTTGCTGATGGGATGATTATCCAAGAAGAAGCAAAAGTAGTCCGCCAGATAGTGACCTCGCTGCCTGTGCGATGTGCATATCGTCCGGAAACCAAGTTTATGTAGCCTAGGGAAGAAGCTGGAGTGACAGATAGGGGGAACATGAGGTAAGCTCGTTACAAGCGCAATCAAGCAAAGTTCTCATTCAGAAGTTTCATAATCACCAGGCCATCCGTTAGACTGAAATATCTTCGTACAAAGAGTTATAAGTAACCATGTACCAAAATGGTTCTGGCTATCTGACGATGAGATATCGGAAATTCAGAGGCGAGAAGTCCTCGACCGAACGCTTGCCCTGGTATTGCGATAAGCACACATAAGTCAATTGATTCTCCCATAAAACATCGCACGTGCTGACGATATCCCGAGTTCACACTGCAAATATCGAACTGGCTTCTATGTATGCTCGCCTACTGGTGAGTACCATACAAAAGTCAGCAACATGGATCATCTACAAGATGCAAACAAAACGTACAACATTAACATACGTGTTCCTCGGTACAAAAATCAGTAACATGGATCATCTACAAGTTGAGAACAAAACGTACAACATTAACATACGTGTTCCTCGGTACAAAAGTCAGCAACATGGATCATCTACAAGTTGAGAACAAAACGTACAACATTAACATACGTGTCCCTTGGTGACCTGAAGCTGCGCGACTCCATTGGAACGGCATGTACGATGAGACCGCACTCCTGTGTATCCTTCAAACAAGTCTCTCTCCTACAGTTTAGGAGTGGAGCAGATTGTATGATGAGATTTTTGGAACAAACTCAATCGATATAGTGTGACGACTGGGTACTTCTACCAGGCAAACTCTGGGGAGAAATCTTTTAGACTCGCGCGCGTATCAAAGGGTCTCCGGTATACAGAAATTAACAGAATACGATGAGATGGTGTTGCAATTGAAAATGACTGAAATAAGTGAAGACAAAACTTAATCCAAAACAATAATAGCAAGCTTGTGCTGCCAGGTGAATGAATATTGCTGTCCGAGTGCAATCAAATCGAATCACATCATTATCGAGTACTGTGTAAACTACATATTGAGCAGCCTCAAGTCAATATGCGATACATATGATACATATGGTATATATATACAAATATATATATATAATGTATATGTATATGTATATATATACATACACACATATACAAATATACATATATATCACTATATACATATAGACATAGTAATATATTAACACCCATATACATACATATCAATAAACATAAAATGGAATAAGTATATATATATATATATATATATATAC